GAATTGTTCTGACACATTGAAAAATTTGGATTTTTGAAAACAATTTTTTAACTCAGCCCAGACCAGAACCAAAATGGCGTCGATCTCTCATATTTCGATCAGTATACAATTATCGAAGGCTCTGATATGAGAATTGAAAGGGTCAGGACAATTTTACGACAATTTAGAACACTTTGATAGTCGATAAACTCACATTTGAACGGGATAGGGGCAAGAAAAGTGTTGTATGCGTTTCTATGCTAAAACGATGGGAATACGAGATCTCGGAGTGAAAATTTAATTGACCTGGAAATCACAGATGGCGCAGGGGGTCCCTCTGCAGTCAATTAGGGCCCCAGAAAGCACGAATCCAGAGGATTTATAGAGTTTTACTTCGATTTCTTGATATTTATTGTACGAAAACGACAGGTGGAGTACGCCATTTGGTACAATACCCAATATAATTCGACACAGCTGTCAATATAAAAATGAACATCGGCAACGTAGGCATTTAGAAAAACCTTCTTTATCGACGTCGATCAAGTTCCTCGACGTGTTTCACTTCACCTTAACATGATTCTCATCGTCTTCTACCCGCATTCTTTCCAAGTTCTATAGAGTTGCCGCAAGTGGCGCCACGGTAGACTCGCCATAGGGCTAGAGTTCTAAATCCAGTGAGTTACGTCAGAAACGAAGAGAAATTCCCGGTAACTTCTCCAAAGCCTTTTTTATTGAGAAATTATGAGAATTTGAATTTTTCAACAGAGCGAACGAGAGGTTTCGATTAGCTATAGAGAAAGATCGTAGAGGGGAATTTCCGTTGTATGTTCTCCGTAGCCAATCAAAACCTCCCATTCGCTTCGTCGCAGAATGAAATATCAGTTCGTTTGAAAGAAATCGCATGGAATTTTCCGTGAAGTTGTACATACGTGAATATTTTTAGCTGGAGGTAAATACGACCCTACAATCAATATTTTCTAATGGTAGTTATTACTCTTTAGCGAACGAACCTTTAACGAAGAAACCTAAAGTATAAATAACAAAATTTTCTCTTAAATTCTCAATGTTCCCGGTAACTTACGGTATGTTTCACAGTTACCTTCTCCAATTTAATGTTACCGAGAATTTTCGAACTCTACATAGGGCTGGAATCCCAATGAGTGCGTTGAATATCGCACCGAGTTCGGCGCGTCAATCAGTCGAGAACAAAAAACCAATCAGGAAAATCAACCTCAACCTCGTGCATCACTTCCGTGTAGTTATAATTGGTTTTCATCTTCGACGTATTGACGCGCCGCGCTGTGTGGCACGCAACGCACTCAGCGGAACTCCGGCCATGAAGTACCGTTTCCTCTACATCGCGATAGATTGATAAACATCGACCACATTCATAGGTTAACCCATTCATTGGCAGCTAGAAAATATCTCGTAGTAAGCGTATATACCAAGCTAGCTCAAAATTTTCCTGGCAGGGAATAGGTTAAGCGTAAATGCCGTTTCCTCTGTATCGTGACCAATGAATACTTTTCAGGTTACTAAACATCAATGACAGTTTGAGATTAAAGATTCATGATATTATTGCAGATTAGACATTCATGACATTATTGCAGGTTAGACATGCATAAAAATGGTAGGTTAATTATTTAATTCGAGATGTTTTCGTCAAATTGTCAGGATAAATTGTTGACATTGACATTTGCAGATTAATTATTACTATAAGAACTATTCAAATTAGAGAGACTACTGATATTTGATATGGTTCCGTATTTAAAATTTTCTTCCAATTGATATTTTTAGTTTTATACTTTACTGGTACCGTTTTTTTATAGTTTTAACATTTATTGACATTTTTAGTTTGATGATTTCTAGTACCGATCCTTCCAAACAGACACCCTGCTTGTATTTATATTAGATTGTACAGTTAATTGTTATTTCTTATTCATACCAAATTGTATTAACATTGATACTTTTAGTACAGTACTTTACTGGTATTGTCATTTCACAATTTTGACATCAATCTACTCTTTTAATTTAATGATTTCTAGTGGACCCGTCCAAACAAATACTTTAGTTGTATCGATATTGCATTATATACATTTATGTCATAACTTTCTAACGATAGCAAATTGCAATAACATTCATACAGTCTGTTTGAGAACTTGTTAATGCAATTATGCAGACAAATCCTGCTGTTCTTGGCACAGAAATCTTTTGTTGCAATTGTCGGGATTTGAACCCAAGACTCAACTTGTAAACTTGTTTTTAAAAAAACCCGTAAGTAATTACACAATTGAAAAGTCATTCAAAATGTTATAAAATCATATTTTTACTTAGAAGTGCATAATAAATGTATTTAAATGTATATATATACCCACCAAACACATTATGTTACTGTTACATAACACTGGAATAACACGATATATAACGAATGTTATTCAAAAGATACATTAATATCATATAACGTCGTATTATTACCATTCGGTAATATTGTTACAAACTTGTACGCATTGCAGTTATATAATATTAACATAACATATAACATGTTACCGATATGTTATGCATACGTTACATTCTTTGTTTTATAACCATGTGTTATCGCTACGTAGAAAATATTAATACAAATCTTACTTATGTGTCATACGCATGTTACATAACATGTCACAAACGTTACGTAATGGTGATATTATTGTTACATAACCGTATTTAATGGGTATCTAATACACATTTTTGGTATGCGAGTTTCATGGCATTCCAGTACTCGGCGAAGTATTTTACACGGAAGTGTGTTTGTGGGTACATTACTTCTAAAATTATACCTCTCATTTCAATTGTATCCTTTATTTATAACATTTTTATCAGCAATATAATATTGATTTTTTGTTGCAAAGGGTCATTTTGACGTCAAGAGCTAGAAGTTTTTCAATTTTACTCTTATCTTTTTTGAAATAGGTATAATTCCAACATAAACTATTTAGGTTAATGATAATATTTTATTGTTGGCATCGCGATGATTGTGACAGGCGTTACTCTGCATGAGAACATCGGCTGTACTGCCAAAAATGGCTGAAATAATTATATCCTGTTTCGAGAAACGTTAATAACGCCTCATTGTATGAAAGAAATGGATTCAAATGTCATTAATAGTAATATAATAAATTTGAGTAAAACTGGGGTTTAGGGAACCAAACCCCGATGATCTCGACCTTGACGTATGTTGTCAAGGTCACACTCCTGAGTGACCTTCACAAAGTTTTAGCCGTCGCTCGTTGTTTCTTTATTAGTTTCTCGTTCTTGAATATATATTTCAAGATTCTCATATTGCTACAGTTAACTGCTGACCGGCTGCCTCGCGGCGACCGGTTTCAAATTGTTAACCTAACCTAACCCAAACTAACTTAAACTAAATCATTCCAAACATTAGAAATACGATACATAAAGTTAAACATACATTAATATCCTCGCCTATTTTAACACTTTACCGACCGGCGAATTTGGAAGTAAATGGCGATCACGGGTATCGCAAAACCGATTAATAGGCTTCCGGTTGGTAAAGTGTTAAAACGATTTAGTTTGAGCTGATTTGGGGTAGATTAGGTTAATAGTTACATCAAATTCTAATTCACTTAATCATATTTTATTATTTGATTATATTCTAATGAATATATTGAGCTAATAATTTTAAAGAAAGCGTAAATACGTTCGCCGAAATACCTTCCTTTAAATAAGTATTTAGCAAGATAATGCATAAAATGATGATCGTAGATACCATAACGAGGAGTATTTCTTGGCATGTTTTCTCCATATTCTTTGTAGATTTTGCATATGAACTTCACTTCTAGGATTCACAAAATTGCATACATGATTTGCTGTCGTATGTTCTGAGACTTTAAATGTATACTCGGTAACGGAAGTGTACGTTCACTTCATCAAAATTATTTTGTTCATCACTTTTTAACAAACACCAAGCGACCGCTGAAACCTAGAGGAGGTGACCTTGACAACATATGTCAAGGTCGAGGTTATTGAAGATGGGTCTCCGAAACCTGTTTTACCATAGGTTTTTTAATCAAAAAAATTCATGAACTCGTTTCTACCTAATTTCTTCCTTGCTGACCTTGTTACATGAGAATCTCCTCTTAGGAAGTTGTCGTATAAAATTTATGCGCTTGCTTTATATGCACTTCATTCATTTTACCGATTATCAGAATCATTACATTCCTCCAAACATTTTTTACCGTTAATACGTACCAATTTCCTTTTAATTTTAGACGGCATTTATCAACACAATTTACAGCTTCTTTCAGCTTGTACACTATTTCTTTTATCATTATTAATATATGACCATAACTTCTTAATTCACGCGACATATATTTCTTAACTCGAGAGAAATTACATGAAAGTAGCACTATTCCTCTGAAACCAAACTCACTTTCCTGTCATTACGCATTAAAATGTAGTCCTACATAAAAACTACTTAAATAAAATGAAACAAGTTATGTATACAAGTATGTATGCCTTTCCTATGAACATAATGCCGCTTGTGTATAATAATGAGTCATTTATGTTCGCTATGAAAACAATGCCGTTCATAAACAAATGTTTAATACATAAATATTTGGGTACATTTGGAAGAAATTCTAAATTTAATAAAGAGCCAAATTATTGAATAAAATTGTCGGTTTGTAATCATAAAATCGTAATAAATAATTTATTAAATGACTAAACCAATAAATAAATAAAAAAACGAGTTAAATGTGGTGTCGTCGTTGCGACGCAATCAAGAGACATTATATCAAGGAATATGAAATCGTCATTTCAGCAAACGTCAAGGCTTAATAAACTAGTAAAAGGAATAATAAATAAATTAGTAATTGAATATAGTAATAAATAAATGTAAAAGTAGTTAAATAAGTTATCGTCATCGCAGTCAAGTGGCAGCGCCAAAAATATATGAGCTGTAGTATAAGCATATCGATTGATTAAATTTCACTACAATTGAAGGAAATTTAATACGAACTTACTGTCTTTCGGCTACGTTCGGATTCTCATGTAGATGATTCTTATGCTTGTACCTCTTCCTTGATATGCTCGTATGCGACTGAACAAAGCGGTACCTGTCTGGAATAACAGGTATCCCCTCTTTGGAAAGCTCATCGGTCGGTGATGGCCTTGACTCTTCTTTCAGTTCCGGTTCTTCACACCGATAGCTTGTACCACACTACTACTTTTGTATCTTGAATTCTGCAACGGCTCTGAACCAAAAGGTGTCATTCTCTGTTCTTTTCTGTCCTCGAAGTCGATGCTCAAAACCTCGAAGATCATTGGACTTCGTGTTGGCACGCAATTACGGATTGGTCGCTTCTTCCGGAAGAACAGGCCAACGTAATGCATACTCGCAACTTGGTGCAATGAACGCGCGCACTACTAAACATTCATTCAATTTTAATTACGCTACTCGTAACGCGAGAAGGCCGATGCGAGTTGCATAGAATTTGATCGCGGATTTGAATGGTGATTACGAGCCGAGAAAAATTCCCACTTACGATACACATTTTTACTTGCTTCGGCAAACATGAATCACTTGAAAATGAACCCGCAAGATTTTCTTGCAGAAAGGTGTTTGCTGCATAGGCAAGAAAAAGCTGTTGCCTCTGCAATCATTTTTACCTAAAATAGCGAAATTACTTTGTACGAAATGTGATTCATCTGTATTTTCTTGCAAACTGTTAAAGTCGTGTAGAGTATTTTCAATGACATGTGGAATTTCGAAGAATAATTTAAAAACTCTTCGCAGTGGAGTAAATATTGCAGTAACTTTGATATTTTTACAAACGTCTCCGTTATTATTGACAAACTCCTACATGTGTTGTCTAGTAACTATTTCTTCAGGTTCAATATAGAGATTGGATTTTATAAAATATTACTTTCTCATGTGTTCCGGGTTGAAGCGTTCAAATAGATTTTGCAACAAACTCAACGTGTTTGTAATCTTATTATGTGACTCGGTGAATTGGTAATTTTTTCAAAAATTCAGAAATTACTTTTTTTAATTCCATTATAACATATAACATTAAGGTGAAGTGAAACACGTCGAGGAACTTGATCGACGTCGATAAAGAAGATTTTTCTAAATGCCTACGTTGCCGACGTTGGTTTTTATATTGACGGCTGTGTCGAATTATATCGGATATTGTACCAAATGGCATACTCCACCTGTCGTTTCGTTCAATAAATATCAAGAAATCGAAGTAAAACTCCAGAAATTCTCTGGATTCATGCTTTCTGGGGTCCTAATTGACTGCAGAGGGACCCCCTGCGCCATCTGTGATTTCCAGGTCAATTAAATTTTCACTCCGAGACCTCGTATTACCATCGTTTTAGCATAGAAGCGCATACAATACTTTTTTGCCTTTATCCCGTTCAAATGCAAGTTTATCGATTACCAGAGTGTTCTAAATTGTTGTAAAATTGTTCTGACCCTCTCGTTTCTCATATCAGAGGCTTCGATAATTGTATATTGATCGAAATACGAGAGCTCGACGCCATTTTGGTTCTGGTCTGGGATAAGTTAACAAATTTTTTCCAAAAATCCAAATTTTTGAACGTGTTAGGACAGTTCTTAGATGATCAGGAATGATGTGTCAAAGTTTTAGACAGTTTGGTCCAATACCCTTAAAAAAAAAGTGTTGTATTTGAACCGATTCATTTGAAGGGGGTTTCACTTCACCTCAATGACACAAAAACAATAAAATTAGTTACTTTTCCCAAATACATACATTGGGTGTTATATGCAAAATAAAATTTGGCGAAAATATATCCGTAAAGTAATAATGGAGTGCACAGCAGTAATGAACCAATCTTGCTAAATACATATAATATGTTACAATTAAAATAAAATATATCATAAAAATAAAAAATTTTAGCGAGCCCCATAATAATATTTATACTCTCAAAAATCTCGAATTCAGTACGATTGCATAAATATGCGAGACGGATAATCGATGAAGCTCGCCAAATATTTTTTTTTATCTCGAAGATATCTTTTGTTTTAAATGTAACATACAATATGTGTTTAGCAAAAGTGGTTCATTGCTGCTTTGCGCTCAATTATTATTTTACGGGTATATTTTTATCAAATTTTATTTTGCATGTAATACCCAATGTATGTACGTATTTGGCAAAAGTATCTGATATCATTGTTTTTGTGCGATTAATCGCCATTATATGGATATAACTTTGCAAAATAGACTTTTCCAATAGGATTACTTTAATTAAAATATTAAGTTATTTAAACATCTTATAACCGAATTGTGGTTTTCTCCTTGCGAAACGGCAAAATATGCATTCATCGCTCGTAAAAAAACTAATGGATATTGGGAAATTAATCCATTAATTATTAAAAAGATAATCGCTAATGGAATATGATTCAATTACCTATTACAAAAGTAATGAGTGATGGATTTCATTAACATTATTAATTAAGAAAATAATAACTAATGAAACTATATTCTATTGTTAAAAGTACAACATTATTTGCAACCCTGCTTTTACCATTATCATGACTGTTACCAACGATTTCAGAATTGGAAAAAGGTGTGAAAATGAATAGATAAATACATGCTTAATGTTGTTCCTGAAACCCCGATTTATTTTACTGAAGATTTCGAGCCATATAACATCATATCACGGATCTGATACAATACATTTATAATTACAGTACACACCAATATTGTGCGAGCAACAATGTTAAAGCTCACGAGATAAACTTTCAAAAAGGATATTAATGTCTTCTGTGGGACGAACGTTTCCAAGGGAAAAGTCTTTCCCAAATATTGAATCCATGCTTGTCATGACTTTTCATATGTCGCATGTCAGTTATGTGGAGATACAGTTGGCAAAGTGGGGTAAATGCATCCCATACGACGTTCTTGAATGAGTCGTTGTCCTGTGGGACAGGTTCTCCAGTCTTTGCGAAATTCGTCCACATGACGGCAACGCGCTGATCCGATAGCGTTGTAGCCTGAGTTAGTAGAACGTATTCATAAAGGCTTTCGTAAAATATGACCATCTGATCATCCTGGTAAGCAACGGCTGTAAGAAAAATGTATTATTACATTACTTTGGCACCGGATTTTCATAATAATATACCACTCCGCATATGAAACATTGAAACATGGGCACGTGACCACCGCGCCCTTAGTAGCACAATAAATATTTATTAGTAGAACGTATTGATAAAGGCTTTCGTAAAATATGACCATCTGATTATCCTGGTATGCAACGGCTGTAACGAAAATGTAACATTACATTACTTTGGCACCGGATTTTCATAATAATATACCACTCCGCATATGAAACATTGAAATATGGGCACGTGATCGCCGCGCCCTTAGTAGCACAAAATATTTCACTTATATTTTCCACAAATGTAACAAACATCGTACGTTATGTAAATACTTACCAAACATGTGTATTACTTGCAAAAAATTTACTTTAGAATATCATTTTTATAATATTTCAATAGTATTGTAGTAGCTCCATGTGTTTTCGTCAGACTTTTCTTTAAATGTACAATACATTTCGTTTCATTTTAATACAAGTGTTTTTTAAATATTATCTGCCGAATATGTTATAAAAGTTTTAAAAATATTTAAGATCAAAATCACACGATTTGCTCCCACAGTCGGAACGAAAATATTGCAAACATTTTCTCGTGTCTTTCGATACCAAACGAAGTGTTCGATAAAAATCGTAAAGTAAAAAATGTATTTGGCGCGAAACTCTACCGAGTTTCCTGATACGTATGTATTTTTATTATATGTTTGTAAATTAAAAATATAATTTAGATACATGTTTCTAAATTATTAAAATTAATTGTGATTGAGATTTTCTACAAATATTTCAGATATCTTTAAATGAAATCTACGAGACATTTCAAAAAATTTGTCGCTGGAGATATTAGCAAAGATTACAAAAAAATATTTAGAAATTATTCTGTGCTACTAGGGGCGTGTTGGAAGTGAAATGTTTAAGTTCAAGAAAATTATTACATATTAATAATTATTCTTAATTATTGTTTGGCAACAAGAGTTCGATACTGCTTTTCCTGTGCATAGTTATTACAATTTTTTATTTTTATTATTTTTATTTCGCTTTAAATATAAATAATTAATTAAGAGAATAACGCATTAATATTAACGAAAACGTTTATGCAAACTGTGGTAATACTGGAACACAACGATGACTGTACTTAAAGAGTAATTACCCAGGCAACCCTTGAAGTGGAATATTCGTAAATTAATCGTCTAAATTAGGTCTATAGGTATAGCCAATGTATATCGTCTATTATCCACCTAACAAAATATCTAAAGGATATATATATATAAATATCTATGTCAGTTGTAGATGAAAATGATTATTCCAATATTTTATTTAGTTTTTTTTTAAGAATAAGTTTACAACAAGATGCAATAAGTATCTTTAGCACCGATCGAGAAATACCGGAGCGGTCTTCATAAGTCCGAAAAATATTAATTCCTTCATAGGCTTTGGTAACATCATGGTCAGTGTTCCTGCTTCCTACCTGTGAGTCTTGGGTTCAAATCCCGACAATTGCAAAAGAATTTTTCTTTGTCAAAAACAGCAGGATTTGTCTGCATAGCTGTAATGAACAAGTTCTCAAACAGACTCTGCTCAAAAAGTGTTATGAATTTAATTTTCTTTACGAATACATATGTATATCTATAGACCATCTATTGTAGATATCGACGATATATATATAGTACGTACCATGTCGGAACATCTAGCCCTTGAAATTATCTCAAATAAAGTTCATATATATATCTTACATACGTTCAATAAACATTTATATACGATTAATGTACGGATATTCCTCGTTCCGCAGTGCTCGGGTAAAGTGATGTGAAAGTGGGGTCAAAAAGGTCTCGTTTATGAAACTTTTCTCCGTACTGGGTGTTGTTACGTCCCACGTAACGTCACCCCTCCAACTACATATATTAAATATGTTAAGCGTCGTAATTACTTTTCTCAAATACTATTTTACTAATATCGTGTTATATCGTCCTCGCTCGTCTGTCAATTTTCTACCGAACACGTGTTAGCAACGTGCTCAAAATAGGTAACCGTCACCATGCGAAAGGTGATAAGAACGAGAATCCCTTGTTCATAATCCTCTAGGACAACGATAGCCCGGGCCAGTGGTAGCCCAACTTAGGGCTTCGAACCTGCATTGTTAACACAAGTAAGAAAACTCATAGAAGTGGATAATGTTAAGTTGAGGGCAGTGTCCTCCCTCTACTAAAATTTTGAGACAATGCAGTTTAGGTACAGTATAAAAAGGGACGCACCTATGCACCCTCAGTTTAGTTCAGTTCAGTTTAGTTCAGTTTTGGTCCAGTTCAGTGACAGTTTATCGATAGACGACGAACGTTTCACAGAGTTTCAGTTTCTTTACAAGTACGAGCGACGAAGAAAACCAGTCTTCTCATTATTCAAGGTACCATATTTTCCTATGTTTTAATAAATCAATCATTGACCTTTATACGAACTTTTTCTTTTCTTCACCCTTTTGAAAGGAGAAACAACAACAATATCCAATTCCTACTATTCCTTTGATATAAGAGGGCGCGGGGCTTGGTCTATCTTCCCCTCTATATCTAACTCTTACTATCTCCTTGATATGAGAGGGCGCGGGGCTTGGTCTAGCTTCCCCTCTATATCTAACTCCTACTATCTCCTTAATATAAGAGGGCGCGGGGATTGGTCTAGCTTCCCCTCTGTATCTGATTCCTACTATCCTTTTCATATAAGAGGGCGCGGGGCTTAGTCTAGCTTCCCCTCTTCATCTAACTCCTATTATCCTCCAATATAAAAAGAAAACCGGATCTTTGCCTGGTTTCCCCTCTAAACTTATCCCTATAGACATTCCCGAAACTAACGGCGATAACGCCCAGGCGTTGGTACCAGGGGACCCCAGAAACTCCAAGCCAATTGTTGTAACCCTAGAGTAAAATAAAATCATCTTTATCTATTTCATAAAAATAATCAATTCATTTCTTCTCTCCCAGACGTAACAGTGTACCGAATCGTTTTAAACATTACAACGTGAATGTGTAGACTTCAAGGAAGGTCCTGACACTCGTGAAACTTTATTTTTATACATAATTTTAAAAAATATATAAACAAATTAAAAAAAAAAATGAAATTTACGAGTGTCAAGACCTTCCTTATAGCCTCTATGCTCACGTTGTGAGGTTTGAAACGATTTGGTACACCCAGTTCGGAGAAAAGCTTCATGAACAGTTGACCTCTCGGATGTCACTTTCACATCCCCTTAACTGTTTCAGAAAGTTTAACTTTCTGAAACAGATCCGTTTCATCGCATGCACACTTACACGTACACTACCACGCCATAAGAAGTTTCACTTTCAAACATTTAGAAACGTTCAAATCGGGCACGGATAAACTTCGGTCAATTTTGCTTGGTCATTCGACACTGTGAAGTACTTAAATGAGGAGATATTTATTCGACTTTTAGGAAATTAATGTGTTTTTTTTTACCTGGTGTATTTAATGTTTGTGAAAAGTTTCATACGACACATAAAACTGTAGCTAAAATCAAAACTCATTTGTTACATTTCAGCGGTTTTCTGTATGAATCCTTTGCTGAACAAGTTTATTCTGAATGAGCTCAGTAGCGATGAAGAATTTAGAAATTTATTGGAAACCAAGTCAATCTTAATTGATTCATTGCCTCACTTCAAGATTTAAAAAAGAAATTTGTTTGATAATAATTAATTTATAATGAATAATTATGAATTTTTTTAAATCAACAGAAAAACACAAAATAAGGAGAGATAATTGCTGATATTTGAGGAAAATTCCTGTTTTTCTTAAAAAATGTTGTGATAAATTAAGGTGATGTGAAAACCGCTGAAGAAATTAATCACGTCGGTAAAAAGCAATTCTTCTAACTGACGTTGACCACCCGAACCAATCTGCGATCTTCACCCTTTTCGGCCATTACAATATTTATGATACTGAAGTGATAACACGCGAGTCGTGATCGCCTAGTGAACTCCAGAGATCCGCCCCCTAGTAGCACAGAATAATTTCTACATATTTTTTTGTATTCTTTACTAATATCTCCAGCGACAGATTTTCTTAAGATATCTTGTAGATTTTCATTTGAAGATATGTAAAATATTTGTTTAAAATCTCACTGACATATTTAGTTTTAATAATTTGTAAGTATATATAAAAATGATATTTTTTATTTTATCAACATATAACAAAGATTTGTTCATTATTTGGCGATTAATATTTGCAACTCATTATTAGTAAGCATTCAACGACTTTATTTGCGGAAAAATATCCGAAATGCATCATCGGGATTTGAACTCGGGTCCTCTTGGTAGTGGCCCGGTAAGAAGGCTGGAATTCATTGGAATTAAACATTTTAATTCCAGTGAATACCTGATTTTTCCACTGCCCTTCATTCCATTGGCGATAAAAGAAAAAAGCAAAATCTAATTCCTATCAATTCACTTTGAAAAATAGAGAGGAATGGGATTCAAAGGAATTCAAAAATACGAGAATAGGAATAGGCAAAGGAATATGAATCTCAATACTCTTTGTGGAATTGAAACAAATTTTTTTATTTACACGGAAAAAAAGAAAAAAACGAAAAAAATTCGATTTTTATGATTACGTACGTTATACTTAAGTTCCTGTCAGTGTCCTCATATATTTCTACCTTAAGTAGTAAAATAATATTTGATGCTCAAAGGGATGCTTTCTCGATGATAACTTCCCTTTTCCCTCTCCTTCGAGAAGGGGTAGGGTCATTATAACATAAATGCAAGGAATAATAACAGGTCTTATATGCAAACGAGCTGTCTGCATCGCCTGTGAGAAGTTTGGCCATCTGGTGGTTCTGTCGAAACTAATGGTGCCAAACCATTGTTTCCGTAATTACATAAGCAAGTTTAGAGTAACCTTGCAATATGTAAAGTCTTACCATAATTGTGGTTACAGCTACCAGATAAACCTTGTATCTTATTATAGTTATTATAAGCTGTTCATAAAGTTAATATTACCATTTGAAATGTTGATTACTACTGCACCTTTTAAGCCCAGCGCCATGGACACAGTACCTATTGGCAAGGTTACGTTTATCATTCTATGTGGTCAATTTCACTATTTGTGCGGTTTCATTTACCACAGTACTTTGACCATGTCGCTATAGTAATTATAATAAAATTATTTCTTTCCGTGTATTGACATTAAAGGCGTAACTAATTATTGCGTAAATTACAATGGCAATTTTTTACAATTCTTTCCAATGATACCTTCTCCTCACTTTCGCACATAAAAAATGTGAAATTTCATGTTTATTTAGTAAATACTTTTTAAAATGCATGAGGTTTAATCAAATTTATATTTGGAATTCAGGAGAAAACAATACATTTGAAACCAATCTCAAATATTGGAATTCAACTACTTAATCTCTCGGGTATATAAAGTGGAATTGATTTAAATTTGAACTTATAAACTTATATTCCAAAAAAAGAATTCAAGGCAATTGAATGTACAAATTTTTTAAAGGAATTGGAAGGAATTAGGCATTCCTATAATGTATTCCTCTGAACGGAATACAAAACAATTTAATATCGACATTTCTTGCCGGACTAGAAGGAATTAAAACAAAGCAGAAATATATTCCTCTTTTCGGAATTGCACAAAAATCAGAGTACAAAAGGAGAATAGATTATAATTGATTCACAGAAAATATAATCCTGCTGTGGGAATTGGACCTGGAGAGAAAAATCAGGTATTAAATAGAATAGAAAAATCATCACTTTTATGTTCAAACTGTGAGACATTGAATCCTATTGTATTCAAGCCTTTTTACCGGGGGTAGTGCATTGTCCATTGATCTATCTGAAACATATGTACTGTCTACACTTCTAATCAGGTATATAAGATGTAAGTCGACAATATAAATATATTGCAATGTTAAAGCAAATTATTATTGATTTATCAATAAAAAGTCTACTAGTTTCTCTCTTACATTCTGTAATTTAGAAGAAAGACATATCAATTTATCTATTTATACATCTACAATCGCACAATATCGATGCAGCCGCCAAATGTTCGTTATGAATTTCGAGTATCGTTGATATACCTGAGTACCTGATATACGTTCGAGTACCGTGTATACCTGATTAGAAGAATAGGTTGTACTCATCAGTCAGATAGATCAATAGACAGCGACTAAACTGCCACCAAAAGGATGCGACTTCAAATCTCGAAGATGCATTTCAGATATCTTTCCGCAAGTCGTTGAATGCTCACCAATAATGAGTTGCAAATATTAATCGCCAAATAAAGAACAAACTTTGTTATATGTTCTTAAAATAAAAAATATCAATTTTATATATACTTATAAATTATTAAAACTAAATGTCATCGAGATTTTTAATCAATATTTTAGATATCTTCAAATGAAATGTATAAAACATCTTAATAAATCTGTCACCTAGATTTTTTAGCATGATTACAAAAAGTTATTTTACAATTATTCTATACTGCTAGGGTTATTAGCTATCCAGTTAGTATATGTAGGATGTAACAGAACTGGTAGTCACGTTTTATACAGCGCTATCCTTGTTGAAAAAGGAGTCGAAAAGTCTTGTACTATTTTTTCCTACAGTGCAAAAATTTCCTGTATTAACTAATTGAAGTACAGCCAATCAGTCGCGTTTCCCAACGGAAGGTTGCGTTCGGCTGTCTGCGGAGTAGCAGCCTTCCCGGCGTCCTCTCCACTATGCGATCCGTTGGGGAACGCGATTGATTAGCTGTGCTCAGGGGGTCGACACTGCCATGTATTGGGGTGTAACGCTTTATGCACTACCGCCATCTTCGGTTGGAGTAAACCTTCTTCGCGAACTAAAATATTTGGCGGGCTATTCAAATTCATTTATTAAACGAAGGGATATTTTCGGGATTTAAAAAGTACTTGCAATGATCAAAACAGACGTTGCTTAAACTGACACGCAAATGTAAGAAAACAGTATATTAAACATAAAAGAAGTTACAAAAGTGTCAGTGGCGCAACGCCTGTTTTAAATCACTGTAAGAACTGAAATAATTACATTAAACATTAATTAAAAAGTAACATATTTATTAAGATAAAAATATTAATTATTATGAATGTATAAATATACAAATTCTATACAAATTTAATTTTTGTTATAATTACTTTCATGAATTAAATGCGATCTATAGATCGCATTTAATCCGTTTAATTATTACAATTATTATAGTAAGAAACCACAAACTGTTCTTGATTTACACTTTTACTCACAAACTCACGTTCGCGATTTAATACCCGAGGTAATCGAAATTTGTAAAAATATTGCCACTAATCGAGGTTAGGTTCACTTTGGTTCACTTGTCCCGACTATTTTTATGCGCATCTACGCTGCGCCTCCTGGAGTCTCTTGCTATTGGTTAGACAATTTTTTCTCTGTTCTTCTCTTTCTATTAGACTGAAAAGTCACCACACCAGCGCAGTCTTTGCTAGGAGTAGGTGAACTAACTTTAGCGTTACACCTCTCCCATAAGGAGTGTCGACCCCCTGGCTGTGCTTCAATTAGTTATTACAGGAAATTTATGCACCGTAGGAAAAAATAGTACAGGATTTCTCACCTCCTTTTTCGAAAAGGATAGCGCTGTATAAACCGTAAGTACCAGTTCTTGACCCTGCAGATCACTGAGTTGCCGCAAACCGTTTCTTGATATACGGCCTTCGAATTTTCAACATTTTTCTACTTAACCTAGACTGGGAAGAAATTGGCGTGGTTCTTTCGTATTTCGATCAATATCTAAATCTCGAATGCTCTGCCGTGAAAAATGAAATTGTTAGAATCGTCGTATAACAATGTAAAACACTTTTGTAATCGGAAAGCGCAAATTTGAACATGATAAAGGCAAAAAAGCGTCTTATGAGCTTCTATGCCAAGACAAAAGTTACACGAGGTCACCGAGAGAAAAAATTGTTAGCCCTGAATGCTACAGATGGTACTCTGCAGTTAATTGAAGTATCAATAATCACGAATCCATGGGATTTTTTGAGTTTTACTTTGATTTCTTCATAAATTTTGTACAGAAACGGCAAATGGATTATGGCATTCAGTACAATACTTAATGTAAATGACACAGCGATAACGTAAGTCATTAGAAGAATCTTTTTTACCGACGTCGATTAAATTTCTTAACGGGTGCCGCTTTCATTAGAGTTTTTAGCTTTGGATTTTAAGCAACTTAGGGCATCCTGCGTAATATATTAAATCTAAATTTTTAAAAATCGCTCGTGTTAGTATGGATAGCGCTACGTCGACACGTCGCTATGACAACGCACGTCGACACACCATATACCACACACGTACATGACGTCACAGACTTGGTATGCGGGAAAGAGAGAGGGGATATATTCCAATGCGTAACGCTTTTTCGTTACATCTCATCTTTTCCAACATTTTACTCCTCAAATAGTCGAGGCTCGGGCGCCGCATAAGAAGTTTTATTTCAAGAATATTTCTGTTGGTTAACTTACCTGCTGATGCTGCAGTATGTTCTTGTACTGCATAAACAGTAACCGGTTGTTTATATTCGATTTGGTAATAGTATACGGGTTCACAGGAAGCTGCTGATACCAGATCCACTAGACGATACACTGGGTATGCAACTATGCTGTCTAGATAGAACTGAAACATAAGAATATATCAAATAAAAATTAATTTAATTATGTTAAGTGAAAATCAAACTTCTTGCAATTATTGTATCTGGACTTACATTTGCGAGGGCATCAGCGGTTTTATCATTAATAGGATATTCTTGAAAATAGTATTCTCGAAGCTGATCACCAATTTCATCACAGTACTCCGTTCCTTCATATTGCAAAATTGATGCTGCGATTCTTTTCCAATTCTCATTCATGTAGGACAAAACCAAATCGGTGCTATTGTTGTATTCATCGATGATTCCTGTTTGATTGGCACATTCATTATTTCCGTAAACAATACAACAATTTTTTTAAATATTCTATCCTAATCCTATTAAAATTCCACAGGAAATTTACCAGCGAGGATTCTACCACATTCGTACTTAGTAAATCCGACAATAAGAGGTACTTGATGAAAGTTTCCTTCTCTCAATAAATCATAAGGTTGTGCCGTAAGGAATCGCTCTACACCATTTATTACAGGCTCCACAACGGGACTCCACGTTAAAAATGGATCATAGTATTTTCTCTAAAATAATAAGCGAATAATTAATTATGCTTTATTTAATAACCGACAGTGTTCATCACAAATATTTCGTAGGTATGTTTCTCGTCATGATTTATTCTTTCAGCAGTAATTAGAAAAAGAATTGAGTACCAAAAAGACTCATACTTACTTTGTTTCCTCTTTATTATATAAATGATAAATTATAATTTATAGGAGATACTGATGTACATGTATTTAATGAAAGTAGACGCAAACAGCGTCATGATGTATAGGGTATTCCAAAAGTAATAATAATCTTTTAAACTGATGGGAGTTAACGATATTTCCATTTGGAAGTTCTTTGACCACTTTCTACATAAAGTAAATATTTGGCAAATTATTAATGTTTAAAGTTGACCACTCACAGTCACGCTACTTAAATCAGCTACTTATATCATTATAAATGATAACGATAATACTTACAATTAGTTACTTCGAGTTAAAACCGTAAAAATTGTATCATATGAAAGTATCCAATTTGAAATATGATAGATAGTGAAATAAGATTTGATTTCTTCAAATGCTCTTACTTTTAATTTAATTTAATATAAAAAAGTCTAACACAAGCAAATAAGCGAAACTTGTGTAAAATATGAAATCATAACGTCGTTTGTGATTTCATTCATACGTGTCCTATTTATGTTTTACGATTAACCCTTTTGCTGCCACGCGACTTTTTGAACTTACGCCAGTGGGCCATAATATAAATTTCATATTAAAAATTGTATAATGGCAAAGAACTGCGAAATATATTATGATAATGGTACAATCTTGCCAATAGCACGTTTCTTTTATAAGGTATCCCAGGTCGATCTCTGCGATTTGATTTCTTTTATAATATGTTATAATAGACTAAAAACTAAGCGACACGTATTTGTTTTTATATGACATTAAATACTTTAAGGAGGTGAAACCACCATCCAAAGTAAGGCTTGTGAGGGATGGCTCATCCCTTAATTGTTTTTTTCAATTGAGAAAATTATATTTCACCTTTTTCGTTATGAGAAAGCTTTTCCAGATGGATTGGTTAAAAAATATTGTTCTTGTGGGTGAAACTGCCAAATCGCTTCCTTGACATGCCTTACTTTGGATGCTGGTTTCACCCCCTTAGTGTTTAATGGCAGATAAAAAAAAAACATGTCGCTTAGTTTTTAGTCTACTATAACATATAAAAGAAATGAAATCGGAGAGATCGACCTGGGATACCTTCCTTGTAAGTGTACACCATCGATATCACCTATAGAATAGTCTTCAAGCAATTCCTCTGAAGATTTACAGTAATTACCGCAGAAAAGAAGGTGTTACCGCATTGAATCTTACAGTGAGAGTGAAAATGAAGGTGAAAATAATAACATGGAATGGTCAAATCCTACCGGGAAAATAGCAAACGTAATGACATTTTCTGGATCATCTACGAGCGTACCATATTTCTGCAATTAAGTGCAAGATTTATATTTTTTATTTATCATGGATCAGATGTTTCCAATGATTTCCCCGAAACGAATAAATATGCTGCACAAAAAAACATATCGAAATTTAAATCTAGTCGTGTGAATAAATTGAAACCGACTAATAAGCAAGCGATCATGCGTTTTTTTGGCCTCATTATATGGATGGGTATTGTTAAATTACCTAAAATAGCTTTTTATTGGTCACTATTGTTGACCCTGTTTTAATACATTTCATTGAAAAATATAATTTTTCATAAACACGAACTATACTGATTCATAAAATAATTTGCGAGAATTTTTAAGTTACTGAAAGTACGTACATGAAAAAATTCTGTTTTATTTAGAACCTTACTTTGTTTTTGGCTAAAAAAGAAGATTAAATATTTTATATATTAAATAAACATTTGTTATTATTGAGTAGCCCACTTTTTAATTTATAAGGTTATATACATATTTGCATAATTCATTAATTTTTATTCCAGAGCATTTGTCTCAAAATGAATGATTTTAGAAACAAATTCATGATGGTCACCGGTGAACACCATGGCCCAAATGAAAAGACAAGCGCCGGTCCCATGGGACCACCGTGGCAGCCAAAGAGTTAATAACATTTTTCGAGTATTTATTTAACACAGTTTCTTGAAAAAAAGAAGTCATTTAAGCTCATATTGTCCACAGCATTTGTTAAAATTTTGTTTCAATGTCATTAAATCTTTACCTTATACCATTATATAAACAATAGAAATGAAGAGCACTTTTGGTTCTCAATTTTTTTCTAATCATTAGTATAACAATTAATCGTAAGAACAGGTGTATAAGATGTTCTTACTTGATATAATTAAGATTAATAGACTTCCCGATCTTGACTTCAAATACATATTAATAACCAACCCGATTCTAATAAATACTACATGGAAAATGTTATGGTTTATAATGTTGTAAATAACCTAACGTTAATATTATATATATGATAAAACTTAACAATATTGCGTATCGTTTATTTTTACTTGAGAAAAATGTTGCCAATTTTTATGAATCATTTCATGAGAATTAAATTAAAGTTTAATTGTGATTACCTTTAACTTAGATAAAGTTCTTTCGAAGTCATCAATGGCCCTAGTTTTCAAGCAACGTATCATGTTGCTACTGGTATCAGTAGGGCAGTTCAAGAGTTCTGCTTGTTCTTCCGCGATATCTCTCTGATGTGTAGGAAGAGGTTCTGGGAATGTCGGTGCGCCATTCATTGCAATGACCTTGTGGAAAAGCCCTTTAGACAACGGCGAAAGCATGTGAAGTATCACATCTCGAGCGCTATTCGAATAACCAGCAATGGTAACACTATTTGGATCACCACCGAAAGCTGCTATATTTTTTCTAATCCACCTGAGTGCCTCGACTTGATCCTTCAAACCGAGATTACCAGGTGCTGCCGAATCACCCGTACTGATGAAACCTAAAACAAGTCAAACTTATACGTATATATTTACCATTTAGTGGAAAATAAAAATAACGAAGAAATGGCATTTTCAGATAAATGTCCCAAGAATTAATGTTGCACAATATATACGACAAATTTAACTATACCAAGTTGGTCGTGTCAAGTAAAATATTGAGCATAAATTGATATTACAAGTCGTGAACAATTTTACCTTACCATTATTTCTTTGTACATCGTGCTTTTGTCGAAGAGTTATTAAAATTATTAGATAGAGTCCGTTCAATTTGATGTCCGCAAACACCAATTTACGAAGCACAAAAGTATAATAATTGAATTTCCGACGAAATCATAATTGTTTACTGCAATGCGTACTGAAGCAAACGCAATTACTTGTCCACTCTTGAATTTTCATGCAACTAACAATTGAGCCGCTCAGTGCACACATTGATTAACTCCATAAAACAAAAAGTTGAGAAATGCGATGAAGTAATGTAGATTCTTTTTTAAAATTCCTATTATAATATAACTTCAAATATATAATGTAGAGTACATAAATACAGTTATAGTTTTCATCTAACGGTATATAAAATTAATAAGAAAGAATAGCCAAAAAATAATCGTCTGCATTTTATATCGACAAATATTTTTGCAGGTATTAAATTTCCTCCCCTATTCCTGTATGCCAAACCTTTTGTTCCGTTATGCTTTTGTAAATTTCGTGCCCATTTATCAGGATTACGACTTCTTTTCCTCCCAATCGATGTGTTTGTTGGGGAATTTGTACCGTTGCAATCAGATGAATCCGAGAAACACGATAAACGTCTTCTTGCCCCAGACTTTCTGCTGATAAATCGTATTGAAGAATCATCGCTGCTTTCCACATCCACATTGTTATTAGTTTCGCTCATCTTGATTATAACGGTATAATATTTAGTTCTTTAAAAACAATCAGGGAGTAATGCCGTGTAATATTGGTGAAGTATACGGTAACATTCAGCGTGAGAGATCACTGTTATACTAACTACTGTCTGCATTGCACTTCTTTCTATCTGTTTGCTGATGCGATTTTATTACTCATATTGTTGAAAGGGGGAAAGCATCTTCGGCTGTTTCAAAAAATAAGCGTCGATGTACGGCCGCAACAGATAATCCAATAATACTATGCTGCCAGGTATTCGTCTACGATTTACATTAGAGTACGGAGTTAATCAAAATGGCTTCTGAAATAAATTACTTATTATTCAATGCCCAAAAAAATTTTGCCGTTTAATGGTGTTAATCTCTATTAATCAGGAAAGATATTATAAATATAAAAAGTGATGACTATACCAAGTGCTTTGACCCCTAAATTTAAGATTTTTCAAAAAGTGGAGTTAGTCGATGTGTGCACTGAGCGGCTCAATTTATAATGCGAAATATTTTCCTTGCATATCCTATTCATGATTTCTACGTGTAACTTTATATGTTATTTTCCCCATATTTATTGAAAGAGAACGGGCGTTTTTAAAATTTTTTGTTTATTTGAATAAGTAATTTTTATTTCTATTTAGTGTTAAACATACCCAGTGCCTGAACACGGTAACTGACAGTAACTAAGATAATGTCCGGTCTCAACAAATTCAAAGGTCCTTCTACATACTCCCGATCAGAGTCTGAGTAGTAACGATCCGGTGGGAAATACACCAATATTGGTATTCCGGAATTTTTATTCTTGTCAGAATCTGGATGCGTCTGCAATCATTGATTTAAATGTTAATTCCTATTTAATCAATATAATGATAGAATAACAGTACTAAGGTCAAGTAAAACCCACCTCAAAAAAGTAAACATTAGTACATGATTTGTGAGCACCTAAGGAAGAGTAATCGGAACGATTGTTGGTCACTCTACAATGAATGGTTACCTTGTTTAAATATAATAATATTAAGGGGTTACACCATTTTGAATCACCCAAAAATTACGGCTTTTCAAGAATTTTTTTTTAAGAATTAAAACGTTTTTATCAAAATTAAAATACAGTATGGTATTATATAAAAACAAAATAAAAAATTAATACAAACGCCGCTTCGACGGCTTACTCACTGACATCGAACGCAGGACAGAAACGGTACAAAAGACAGACTCAACGGACTGACTGTAGGCGAGCTTGACGGACTTAAGGACATAGTTTGAAACAACCTCAACCCACTCAACGGGTTGGTCTGGAATGGACTTAACGGACTCAATGGCAAGACAAGCTTGAATCAACGCCATCGGGTTCGGCTGTCGGAATTCCAATTCGACTCCGACACCCTCGATAACGCCGAGGTCCTCGACGACGGAATCCAGGTAACGTGGAAAACTCGACGCCTGCGGAATCCAAAGAACGCGGGCAATCGACACCCGTAGAATTTCCTGGGCGCAGAAAAATCGATTCACCCCGAATTCACTAGACATGGATAGATCGATTCGCACGGAATGTCTTAGCTGCCGAAAAATCGCTACAAATGTGATTGGGCTTCGGAAAACCTACGCAAACGTACTCAAGGGCGGCCTTACGAAATCTAACCCAAACCGACTCAATGCAAAACTTATTAAATTTTTCCCGGACACTCTAAACTAATAACCTCTCTCATGTGATCAGTACTCTACCGGATCGCAGCTTCTTCTTCTGGCCCTCCGTGCTACAATATACGAAAAAGCCTGAATTTTACTAAACGCGACCTCCTCCTCTGTCTCTATCGGAAATTACAACACGCGACTCAACCGTTGTACTCGCGACACTAAATTGACAAGGCCAGTCGCTTACGCGACACGAGAGGGCAGAATCACTTATGCGACACGAAAGAAGGGTCAGTCGTCTACGCAACACGGGAGGAAAGTAGTCGCCTATGCGACACAAAATGAATAAGGTTTCGCCACGGGACTCCTCGAGAACGTAAACGAAAGTCGCCTACGCGACATGTACTGTGATGTAGCAAAAATATTTGCTCGTCACAAGGACGCTTAAGACCGGAGCGGGGAGGAGTCCCTCTGGCAATCATTAGAATAAGCATTATGTTTTTTTTATAAGAATTTAAAATCTGCGATAGATTCTACGTCGCGCCGGTGCCGGTCGCATAGTGCGCGCGTAGAGATCCTCTTTACAGGCTCACGGATAGCGCGTGGGGCCCAGAATTCGGAGGTTCTGCTGCCATCAGTCGGCGGCCGCCCTAATTAGGCGGCCTAATGACCTAATATAAACTAGGCGAGATGGCAGGTCGGGGCCCGGTAAGAGGTTCCGCTAGGCCCGCCAGGAGGACACCGGAGCCGGAATGTAGGATCTTCCGGCGCATCCGGCATTGCCAGAGGGATCGTCAGCGAGGACAAACTCCCATCAGCGAGGACACACTTCCATCAGCTCTTCCCGTTCCGCTAGGCGCCTTACCGCATCTCTCGAAGGGCGCCGTCCCGTCACGCCCAGGCGAAGCCGCTGAGCCAGGAGTGTCCCGGGCGTAGCGGACATCTTACCGGTGAGTCCGAGCCTGCCCAGGGGACCTCTTTGACCGCTATCGTTCCCCTAAAACCGTGAGCCGATACCGCGCCGCGATCGCCGCCATTACGTGTCCAACCGGCCGAATATCATTGTGAGGTCGTTATTTCCGTGCGTGCCTCCCGAGTGTTTTGGGAGAACTTTCGCCTTTATCGAAGGGCCGTTTCCGAGCCGCGGAAAGTGCGTCGGGCTTTTTAATGTAATTTTCCGACGGGCGGAGACTCCCACCCGCTCGAATGTATCGCGCTCCGTACCGTTTATCACATACTCCCGGAATTGAATAGAAATGCCGTTTTAGGCTCCCAGTGTGCCGGTCGGAGTGGGTGGGAGGTGTAGGGCCGTATCGGGAGCCGGTGCCGAATCCCTTTTGCGCAATTACTGAAGGCACCGGGCTTTTATCGGGGCCCTGGGGGCACAGTAAAGGTCCGTCCGCTAGGGTGTTGTACCCTGTACGAATCCCCACCGGGGAATTCGTTTCTGTAATCGCGCGCCCTAATTTTTTCCATTGGTCCCGTTAAGTTTCGATTTTCCCAATTAAGTTTTTTTCCCGTATCGACTTGGCGTAACGTTCCGTAGATTTTGTAACGCGCTACCGTGTAGGGCTCAGGCGAAATAAATCTCCCGAAGGGAGGATCTATCGCAGTTCTGTTTCTCGTTACTTTCTCTACCCCGGTTATCGAATCCCGAATCGACTTCTCCTCGCTCACGTTTCTCGGAGTACGAACCCCCCAGCTCTTCCGTGCAGCGAAGGGCCTAAGGTCCTCGCGGGGCTGGGTAGCCGGTCGGATATGCCCAGGGGAAGGTCCCGTCGTCGGACAAAGTCGGCGTGCTCGCGCTGCCGGGTACCGGGATCCCGAGGTGCGCTTGCGCACCTAGCGCCCTAAATAAATCGGACTCCCGGAAGGGCCGAGGATCGGGCTCGACCCCTGTCTCGTACTATATCCCTGGGCGTATGACGGTTTGCCGACTAGGGATAAGCAATTCCCGTCGCAGTACTTAGCGCGGGAAGGCGCATACGTGACTCAGCGGAGGGCTTCTCGCACGGCGCGAGAGAGAAGGAGGAGGTTTCGGATACTTTACTAAATAAAGTTCTGATTGCTCGCCTGTACTGGAAGACGGTTAGCTGCGGCTCCCCGTTCGTTGCAAAGCGGCTTCTTGGGACACTCGTCGAGCACGGACGCACAAATACTTCGGTATCGGCGCAAGATCGAATCCAGGAAGCAAACACACTCGGGCACTGAGGAAACTCGAGAAGAATAAGAACCGGTCGTGCTCTGGTCTCCCTTAAATAGATCAGATCATAGGCCAGGATGGCGCGAGCTTTTTGGCCGTTTTCGGAAGGTGGTGAGTCGCGACCCAATTATTTTTGCGAATTTACTCAAAGTTCGAAATTTCTAGGTGAACGGAGCCACAGTGGGGTGGCTTAGCGGCGCGCGCCGCACTCACACGTCCAGGGTAGCTGTCTTGGGGACCCCTGCCAGGCCCTCGAAGGTGTCCTCACCAAAATTTTCCTCCTGGGTGCTCTGGATGTGGTGAAGTCGCCACTGCGTCCTCATCGACTCCAGGTCTACTCGGGTGGCTTCTCCTCCGGCGATCTCCCACCGCCTTCGAGTGGGCGGTTGGTCGGTGGCTATCAAGACCGAGACTTGTAGTGGAGTCTCCCCCTGTTGTACCGATTTGCTCTAAAGTGCCGGAGAGTCCTTCCTTCGGAGAGCTGGATGCCTGCGCCTGACTCGAGCTCGGTGGCCCTGGCAGAGCCCTCGAGGCCCTTTGATGGGTGGACGGAATGGCCGGATGCCCTCTTCTCGTGCCTTCTTACTGGTGCGCTCTATGCGCCCCTTCTCGTCGTGGGGGCCCGATCCTGGCGGTCTTTTTCGCGGTCCTCGGTGTCGGTGACGGGTCATGCGGTACCAGGCGAGAGGCGAGGAGCTACCTCAGACCTCACCTGATTCTAATCGTTCGCGCGAGCCGGCTCGATCCGGTTCACGCGTACAATACACGTATCACTTTTTTTTTTTGACCGAACTGTTAACCTGATATTTAGGTGACTCGGAAAATCGTTACGACTTCTAGATGTTTCGATCAAATCGATTCGAATATCCGCGATGAGATTTCGACAAACAAGATTTTTCTGGTCCTGTCCTTTCTTACGGGGCCACCTTTTGTGACGGGCATACCCACAAAATGCCACATTACACTGTACAGGAAGAAAAGAAGTATCACAACCCCCTCCCCCCTTCTTTCTCCTTCCCGCTCCTCACCAATTACCACCAATATATAAACTGAATAAACTGAATCTGTAATGTTTATAGATATTTTCTCCTGTAATTACAAAAAACTCTTGCAGAAATGTTTCTGCTTACTGTACATATAAATAAGTAAAGCTGACTTAATTAATGGGACAGTTTTTATATGTATTGAGAATGAAAATGACCAACAGATAGGCTTCTGGAACATGAAGTCTCTTATTTTTCTCTGTGTATACCAACGATGATTACGTTTCCCGGCGGGTTTTACTTTACCTTTATTATAATAACTAAAAACTATCTGGATCTTTTGGGGCGACTTTGTACAGGCATGCGTTCGCGAAGGATTAAATGACAGTTAATTATACGTAATTATAAATCGGAACATGAATGAGTAGTAACATTTTCAAACTCACACATAAATACATAAAAATCATCTGTCAACCCCGATTGGGCAAAAAAGTAGATATGTAATCGTGATTTGTGTACTTTGCATTATAATATTATTCAAGTGCTTTTGTATGTAAACTTTCTACGTAATACATATTTATTTGTATCAGAGGTTGAGTTAACAACAAGATTGAAGGCGATCTTAGTGTTATAGAAAATGTAGTGCTCCTTATCGTCTAATCCGGGCATTCTCTCGTAGGTGCATATATTTTTTAAGTACTTATAAAAAACATATTCTCGTGACCTTTGACCCCCAGTAAAAAAAATTGTCCCGACACTCTATACATGAGGACTTTCATGAAATTACTTTCTATGTTAAAAAGAAACTAAGGGAATAAGATTTTCTTGCGCAAATTACCTCCTGATTTCGTTAATTTTATATCTATTTTTCCTGGGGCAGATAATAATCATTAAGGTAACTAAAGAATATTTATGTACTTGCGCATGTGTCTCTTGACGTGGTCTGCCATCTGGAGACGACTGCAATAGTGACGAAGTTAATAAATAGCATTTACTCAAACAGTAATATACTATTTGAACACTTTTTTTTTATAAGGTGACTCCTCATTTGGTAATGTTTCTAATTAAAATAACTGAAAAATACTGATGTACCTCTTTATCTGCAATTTGACTTCTGTTATCTAGAGGTTTCTGCAACAATGATGAAAGCATAAAATTTGAATTTATCAACTGATTATGGTAATCATTAGAAAATATTAAGTTGATATGAAAGGACCATTATATATATACACCTGCATGTGTGTATATATGTATGTATGTACAAGTATATGTACATACATACATACATACATACATACATACAATACATACACATATATATAATACAAGGTGTAACAGAACTGGTAGGCGCGGTTTATACGGTGCTATCCTTGTTGAGAAGGGAGTCGAAAAGTCCAATACTATTTTTTTCTACAGTGCAGAAATTTCCTGCAATAACTAATTGAAGCACAACCAATCAATTGCGTTCTCCTGCGGATCGTATAGGGAAGAGGACGCCTGTAAGGCTGCTACTCCGCAGACAGCCGAACGAAACCTTTTCGGCGTCCTCTCCACTATGCGATCTGTTGGGCAACGCAATTGATTGGCTTTGCTTGAATTATTTATTGCAGGAAATTAATGTAGTGTAAGAAAAAATAGTACAAGACTTTTCGACTCCTTTTTTTCAAGGATAACATCGGATAAACCGAGCCAATTCTGTTACACCCTGTATAATTATATATACATGTAACATTCATAAAACCTTTAAAAAAGGTGATGTCACCTTAGTAGTATTAACACATTGTTGACCGTCAATTTGACAACGCTAATCGTTCCGGTACGAGTTAACTCGTAGCCGGTCAACAATGTGTTAAGATATTTTTTAAACTATTTATCTACCCGTTCGTATACGTTTCGATACGCGATACAATTCTCTTGAGACTTCTGCAACAACAACGAAATTACAAAACTCTATCTATCCGTTGTTTAAAGTACTGTTCGGGAAATATTTTTTTTTGATAAAACAACTGGTTGACATTTTTAATACACATAACTGAAAAATATTAACTTACCTGCGCATCTGCAATTTCATTTGTCGTAGAGCTATTTGGCGGCTGCTGCAACAATGATCAAATTTAAAAAGTGTTTATTAACTCAAACGTGCATTTATCACCTGGCTAAAGTAATCTTTATAAAATCATTGTCGATAAAATTGTGGTTTCATACTTTCTATTATAATAACTAATAGTATATTGTGTACCAAGAAGGCAAAGCGGATCTTATTACATCCAATGTAAAATTGGCATAAAGAGTCATAGGCTCACAGGCGATCAAGTCGAAAGCATGTGCTTCGATGGTTCATATGGTACGTTATGAGGGAAAGAGAGGGGGAAAGAAGTAGCGAGAGGGATAGAGAGGCAGGAAAGGGGCAGAAGAGGGGCGAGGGTCGCCGGTGTAGGATGTGGGGAGAGGAAAGAGAGAGCGATGGGGAGGAGAATAAGGGGGGAGGAGAAAGGATGGGTGGGTAAGCGGATGGCAACAGTTCGTAAGTTGGCCAGACTGCGAGTAACGATTGAGTTGCCACGCTCGCCCGTGCAGTGCACGCTCCTCCTCGCTCGAAAGACATAAGTAAAGGGAAATTTACACGGTGCGAGTAACTAAAACTAAACTATAACCGAGTATTACTCGTCTACTGGTAAACTGCTATTCCAGTACTGGAGTGGAGTACTCGCTCACGTGCCAATGCGAGTCGAGTGAACAGAACGCAATCCTATTTACTGGCGCGAATTATAACCCCCACTAAGTGTTTCACTCTACTGTCTTGTATACCAGACACGCATAGACGTGTTATTCTAGGGCGACTTGCAAATTTCAATAGCAAACTGAAACAGTTTTGTGCAATTTTCTGTTGAATTTTGGGTTGAAATGCCCCAAAGGTGGACATAAGACCCCACGTTGACATTCGTTGAATTGTATCGAGGGGAAGAATGCCTCTGGAATTCAGAACTATAGCAGGACAAGAATAGGGAATACAGAATTGAGTACATTTTTTCGCCCAACACGTTCAAATACCGTTTAATCATTTCGTTCGAAAAATGTTTAAAATTGCGTCGCCCTTTCGACATCCTTGGGTATTAGCACATGACTTCCTGCTTACTGCTAAGCAAGTACTAGAAGACTGTGTAAATGCTACTATCTTATAAAGCACTCGGTTTTAGTGACTCGTGCGAGTTACTGGCACCGAGTAAATTCACCTTTAGTGACTCGTACGAGTTACTGGGAACATGTAAATTCCCCTTAAGAGACAAGCAGTATTGTGAGGGTGTGAAGTTTTTAGAAACATGCTTTACATACTCCTGTCTTCTTCACCATAATTAAATTGTATAATGAAAATCCACTTCTGAATCAATTTCAATCATAAAAGGTGTTAATTATGAAAATTATCTTTTCGACGAATGTATTCGATGAATATTCCGCGGATACGTGTACATATGGCACGACGAATCCTACTTCACGCATTTAGCAATAAAAATTCTCAAATTCCCAGTATTTCAACGTTAATGTCGAAAGCAACTTCCTTTCGCGTTTCTTTATTGCTTCACTATGGTCGTAGCAATTTATTTAAACGTCGAACCGAACGATTTATGTTTCTTTTCCCCCACGATTCAATTCACTTTAAATAACTCTTGGATTTCCTATATATATGATATATCATATATCATGCATTATGCGTCATGCATCATGTATCATATATCATATAACATTTATATATCATTTCCGAGTTTCAAACAACCAAAAACTAATAAATCCATAAAAACCTTAAATCCAAGGCACCCCATTGTACGACTACCTAGCGTTACGTACAAGGAAAGTACCAAATTCTCACCTTAAGCATTCTAAAATGGAGATGTGAAGACTACATCGAGATGAAGTCATTTGAATCACTATAAGACGATAAGAAATATTAAGTAATAATTAGCCCATGTAGTGAGTTTCTTGCAAAAATTCCGAGACGTAAATTTTGTTTCTTTGTGCTCTGTCTAACAGAATCGGTTAGATTCAAATCGACATAATTTTGTATCTTTTACATCGAAAATATTGTCGACAAATGGCTATCTTGTTTTATAAAATTTAAAGGATGTAATCCTTTGGGGTAAAATGATAGCCTATAATATCGTCTATACATGGCGAATAATATGACGTTCATCTCGTTACAAAATTCCCAATAATTCTTGAGATATAACAAAAAAACGTTTTTAGGGCGTGAACTTTGCGGGTCCATTTCACTCCTTAAATCGCCGAGTTAACACGTATAAAAAAATACGTCTCTAATGTTTTTTCATGTACTATAACATATCACAGAATGAAGAAAATCGGCTAGGCATAAAATACCACTAAGTTCAACGCCTCAAGTTTGGGCGTGGGACGTCAGGTTTTGCTCGTTCAACGTATTCAGTCGTCATCGTCGCGGTCGTCATCTTTCTACGAGCTTTTTTTCACCTCTAGATGAGAAATTCCTCTTTTCATTCGCTGTTTCCTTAAGGTGACGTGAAACAAGTCGAGGAACTTGATCGACGTCGGCAAAAAAGATTTTTCTAAATACCTACGATGCTGACGTTCGGTTTTATGATCACATTTGTGTCTAATTATATTGGGTATTATACTAAATGGCATACTCCACCTGTCGTTTTCGTACAATAATTATAAAGAAATCGAAGTAAAACATCAGAAATTCTCTGGATTCACGCTTTCTGGGGCCCTAATTGACTGCAGAGGGAGCCCCTGCGCCATCTGTGATCTCCAGGTCAATTAAATTTTCACTCCGAGACCTCGTATTCCCATCGTTTTGGCATAGAAGCGCATACAACACTTTTTTTGCCTTTATCCCGTTCAAATGCGAGTTTATCGATTACCGGAGTGTTCTAAATTGTCGTAAAATTGTCCTGACCCTTCCGGTTCTCATATCAGAGCCTTCGATAATTGTATATTGATCGAAATATGAGAGCTCGACGCCATTTTGGTTCTGGTCTGGGCTGAGTTGAAATTTTTGTTTGAAAAATCCAAATTTTGAATGTGTCAGGACAATTCTTAGATGATCAGGAATTATGTGTCAATGTTTCGGACAGTTTGGTCTAATACCCTTCATAAAAAGTGTTGTATTTGAATCGACTGATTAGAAGGGTGTTTCACTTCGCCTTAACTAATCAGCATTGAAGAAATCTATCCTTCACATCTTCTCGTATCTCCTCTTTCAGCTAATGCGCCTGTAAGATTAGGCCTCGTATTGCAGGGTTTTACACCGGGTATTAAAGAACCAACTTTGCCTCCATTTATCCACTCATTAATGTAATCTTTAAAAAATAATTCTCGGCATGACGCCTAGAAAGAGTCGACATTTCTAATTACTATTATCGAAAAATATTTGCCTACCTGGGCATATACATGTTGATTTGTTGCATGGTTCCCAGGAGGTTCCTGTAACAATGACAGAATGATTCACTTAATATTGCAATTTTTATAAATATACGTCGATTAAATAACGATTATTTAATCATTTTATTTTAAACTGCAAAAGATTTGCTTACTCTTGCATATATATTTTGACTCAAGACAATGTTCCCTGAAGGCTGCTGAAACAATGAATGTATTAAAAGGATGAATTTCCACTGTTAACACGTTAACTGACACGGTGGTCATCAGTGACCGGCAACCGCCTCGCGATTGTACACTCGTCATTTGTTTGGGCAGTCAACGTGTTCAAGTAATTTCTTGGAAACATTTTTTCATAAAATGACGGCTAGTGAACTTTTTAATTGTAATAACTGAAAAGCATTTGTCTACCTCAACATATGCAGTTTGACTCATAATAAGGCTCCCTGGAGGTGGCTGTAACAATGAAAGAATTATGAAGTTCGATTTATCCATTCGTTAAAACAATATTTCAAAAATATGCTTTCATAAAATGATCTGTATTTATATATTTATAAGTTTACTTCCGTTGTGTAAATGTTTAGTCGCAGACAATCTTCCGAAGAACTTGTTCCAGTATGATCAAAACACGATGGTCCTTGTTTAGTTGCATCAAAAACGTTCATCCAAGGGTAAACAGGAACAGCTTGCTAAAAATAAAAAATAATCATCAAAATATGAAGACGAAAAAAGTTAAAAACGTTTTCTTTCTTAAGAGTATAGATATTTTGGTGCCCCCCTCCGATTTTGTTCTACTTATGTACATTTAAAGTTCATATAATTCTAAGGAACGTGTATTTTTTATATCTGCTATACAATGATTTTAAAGGATAAAATTACCCTACAAATCTAATCCTGCAAGGGGGTGATTTGGCAGCTTCGCATAGAAACACCTCGTCGATTTGACGGCAGAATGTATTTTGTTCGCAAGGACAAGGTCCTAGAGTATCTTGATGACAGATTAGTAGTCACGGATACCCGCGAAAAGCATATGAAGTTCTTCAGGAAGTATTCGAGACGGCCAGAAAGCACCGGCTATAATTTCTGCTGAGCAAATATTTCTTTGCATGCAGGGAGATTATATATTTAAGCTACTAAATTAACACTAAACGTACCACCACCTAGCAGGAACAAATTACCGTTTTTCAATGCTCTTGGTAATGGGGTTATACATTTTCGGTAGGTTTAGTGTTAACGGTATGCTCCCCAGAAAGGAAGATGTCAAGTCTGTTATAAACTACCCGGTTTCGCGAAGGACGTAAAAGATTCACGGATTCGTTGGTTTAGCGATTTATTTCAGTCATTTTTTACCAAACTTTTCGATAGCGGCGAAACCGTTGTACGATCTTATCAAAAAAGACGTCCTGTTAAAATTTGGAACGGAAGAAACCGAAGTGTTCGAGAATTTGCAGCGAGCTTTTCGAGCTACTCTAAATCGATCGTAGAGATCAATTTCGGTTCAGTTATAGGGAAATGCTATTACTAAAATAGAACAAGACAGTTTAGATCAGTGTTCTATTTTAGCAAGCGAACAATAATAACGAAGTCGACGTATTATAGCTCCGAACACGAGTGCCTCACAGTGATCTATGCGATCCAATGTTTTTATATTTACCTCGTTAGTATTAAGTTTAAAATTATAACTGCTTGCGACACTGCGGACTGCCTCACGCTGAGCAAGCAACAGCAAGGAATCCGTTAACCGACGCATATCTCGTTGTATGCTCCTATTATAAGATTATAATTATAATCATGGATGGCACATGTCGAAGAATCGTTCCAATGCCGTACAGAGATGAGTTGGGAGATTGCTCACGGGCAGGGTCGCATGATCGCGTCCTGTGCTGCCCCCCCGATGGAGGATGCGGACGGCTAACGTACTTGCCACCTGCTACCCCTCAGTGGCAGCGCAACACATTTCTGGTGGGGGCTCGCGCAATTGCGATAGCAAATACAGGGTATGAGGCTTTTGTGAGGGTTCCATGACTTTTTCAGCCGGTTTTCGGGCTGCCATGCCCTCCGGTGAATTTTTTCGCAATTGCAAGCACAGAATCTCGACGACGAAGATTGTTCTCTTCAAATTGATCTCTTGAGCGTGTGGTTGCGATTTACTTCAGAGGAGATACAGAGTTTGAAGCTTTTGTGAAGAATCGATGTCTTTTTCAGATGATTTTCGGGCTGCCCAGGCGCCGGTGAATTTTTTTCGCACCTGCGACTACAGGAGCTCAATGAAGAAAGTTAGTCTCTTCAAGATACGTCAGCATTAGAAGTTCCAAATTACTCAGAGGCATGCGTTTTTCGGAATTTCACCCAAAAACGATGTCATCCGAATAGCAATCGAATCCATCGACACTCAATTTCGGCGGTAGCACGAGGACGGAGGGTCGGTGGGATAATTGGACTTCATACTTGTGTCTCTATATCCACCCTAGAGGTCGTGCGTCCGAGTGAGATAGACTATTTGATGCGCTATCCTTATAAATTGAAGGACAGACTTATGCGGCCGGGTTTCGGGCCCTGACCAGGAATAGGCTTCCTTTCGTCGTGGCCGGCTCGGGGCTCGAGGGTCCTAGACGAGACGATCCCTCTTACTCCTACGGGTCGCAAAGGCCCCGGGCTTCCACTACCGGTCTCAGAACACCAGTCTCGAGCCTTCCACCTCCTGCTGTGACGTTCTCTATATCAGTTTTCCGATGAGCAGATTATTGTCATTGTTTCCACGCCGGTAAGGAAGACTCTCTTTCTACCCCGGGCTACGGTCTCGTCCCTGAGGGCGCGGTGTTCTCCGTTGCTCTCTCGTGGGTCTTATGTCTCCCGACGGCGTTCTCGCTTAGAGTCGTTCACCCTCGAACTTTGTCGCCCCTTCAATCCGCGGCTCGGATAGCGGATTGTCATTTTGCAACGACCGCGATGAAGTAATTGGAACAGAGAAAGAAGAATTGATTCCTCAGCGAGAACTGTCGTCTTGAAGATACTGTGCCTTCTACTCATAACGTTAACCCTTCATTGTCCATGCTTTATTCGGACACGTAATTTTATGACTTGTATTTGTATTTAAAATTCAAGTAAATAATTTAATTTCTTTAGTTTTTGCGAAAGTGGCTATTTCCAGTTATGCGTATTGTGTATCTTTTTCAAGAGTTGAATCAATTGATAGAACATGTATCATTCTGATCGATTTTTTCCTAACATTCTCATTTCTCTGAAAGTATTTAATTTCAAATGGAAATAGATTCAAAATATATTTAAAATAGGAAATCGAAAATAGTTTATTGTTCTTATTTCAAATACGAATTTCGCGGCCGAAGAGGGCAGTAGGTCCGCGAGGTAATCATCGATGAAGTGTACAGAGTTCAGAGTTTAGAGAACCCCTTTAAATGCATTATTCATTATGGAAAAACATGTAGTAATTAATCATTTTTGGATATTAAGTCTGCAAGGGTGCTCTAAACGCTCGACAGGGGCCTCAGGATGCTGAAGATGTGCTAGGTAACGTCCATATTGTCTGTTGGCCATTCTAGCACGTGATTAAACTATACGGTCGAACGGCCGATACTGACAGCGCGTGCGAGCGTGTAGCTTCGGTGCAACTCTATGGCTGAATGAAATGGCGGTGGCCGTGCACAATCAGGTCGCACACCCGTAGCCGGATATTTTTCGATATTTCGTGAAGGCGCGTGATTGCGGGGTCCAACGACGACTCGAACTAAAGCTGCTGTCGTGCCCGTCGAGTATGGTATCATCTGGATTTCGATATGACTCGGTGCGCGCAATGCGGTTGTGTTAACTGGCGAAATGCTTCAGGCGTTAATGAACCGGCATCTATTAGGTCCGGGAACATTTGCTCAGGAGCAGCGATAACGGTTGCCTGAAGACATCGATCGGGCCGGGCCTCGTGGGTCGTTTAGAGACTCGCTTCCAGATGGTTGAAACCAGCCAAAGACCTCGTCGAGTAAAGTAATAAAGATACTTTATTGCAGATGGCTCGTGGTTTACAGGAATGAATTGTAGACTCGTCGACTTAGGGGGTTATTCACCCAGAGATACAGGTGCCTCGCACGCAGGTTATAGAATTAAGACAGTTGAATTCGTAGATCGAGTTCAGACGTTCAAAGCTTCGCTGGTTAGAGAGCGAGCCCTTCAGAGCGGGCTTTGTTATTCTAAATCGGAGTGTTCCTAGATGTGAAGGAGTGTGCTTCAGCGTTTTGGAGCACGAGACGCGCTGCTTAGAGTTTCTTTCCTAATATTAATATATACCAAGTGTATAAGCTTAAATCCGCTGTTTTTCAGTCAGAAAAACACATGTTTTTTTTTCATGAAAAGTGAAAAAATAATTTATTCAAAGTATTGGCCCTCGCTAGCTGTACATTTGTCCCATCTCTCGGGCAATTTGTGGATACCACGCGAAAAAAATTTCTTCTCTTTCGAGGCAAACCACTCATCAAGTTATTGTCGGACGTCTTCGTAAGAATCGAAGTGTTGCTCAGCGAGCGCGTGGCCCATCGACGAAAACAGGTGGGAGCCAGAAGGGGCCAGGTCTGGTGAATAAACGGCACGGGGTAGCACCCCCCAGATGAGTGCCTCCAAGTAGTTTCGGACCATTTTTGACGCGTGCGATGGTCAGTTGTCTTGGAGGAAAATCAGTCTGTCATGTCTTTGCTGATAATCCGGCCTTGTTTCACGCAGAGCACGGGGCAATTTGATTAGTTATTGGTGGTAGCTATGGGCGTTGACAGTTTCACCAGGTTTCAACAGCTCATAGTGGACGATACCCTGCTGATCCCACCAAACCCACAGCATCGTTTAACGTCCGAAGCGATTTGGTCTTGCGGACGATTTTGATGGTTGGCCGGGATCAATCCACGATTTCTTGCGTTTAGGATTCTCGAAAAATATCCACTTTTCATCGCGTTACAATCTGATAAAGGATCGACTTCCTTTTTTGTCTGGCGAGCAAGACTTCGCATGTGTTTTGACGTCGCTCCATCTACCTATCGGTCAAATCATGCGGTACCCATTTTCCGATCTTTTCAACCTTTCCCATAGCACGTAGGCGCATGGAAATGGCTGGTTGAGTAACATCCAATTGCTCGGCAAGCATTTTTTACGATTGGGTATCGTCCTCGTCCAAAAGAGCCTGCAATTGATGGTCCTCAATCTTCCTTGGCCGATCTTCACGCTTCTTGTCGCTCAGGTCAAAATTGCCATCTTTGAATCGACGAAACCAATCTCTGCACGTTGTTTCCGATTAAGCACTGTCGCCATAGACCTCCACAAGCATTCAATGCGATTCAGCAGCCGATTTCTTCAAATTGAAGTAGAAAAGCAGAGCTTCCGCATATGCTCTTTTTCTGGCAAAAACTAGACATGATTACCAAAGGAATAATGTATGTTGTTGTATGAAATTGCTGATGATGTGCACTGATTACTGTTGGCAGATGTCAAACTCATACAAAACAAAAGTATGGCGTATCTATAGTAACTTAATATGCTCATTAACGCAATCTATGAGCAAACAGCGGATTTAAGCTTATACACCTGGTATATACATTGTTGCCGATCGGGTTTCCGCATCAAACTAAATGGTGACCGAGAGTCACCTCTTGAGTTGCTGCATCGGACCAAGTGGTGACTGAGAGTCACCTCTCGC